CCATGTATATTCACCAGAAATGTCTCAATTCCTTGAGCTTCTTGTCAGTGAGGTCAACAATCGCCAGAGATACATCAAATCCTCAAGCCTTCTGTTTGTGAAGGCGAGTAATCTCTATAAATAGACAAATTCCTCTATTTTCACGCCAACAAAGGAATAATCGTCTGCGGCTACGTCTATTTTTCACAAATGCCCGAACAACAGGAGGTAACGGCTGGGTGCTGCTGGTTGCCTTGTAAATACCCGCAAAAGAAATGGCCCATTAAAGCCATCAAAGCGTTTGCAATCTTTGAAGGCCTTAACGACCTAAGTAAGATCATCAACGTTACTAGAGGAGCTCAAGTCAACTGATTATTGAAGACATCTGGAGGGAGGCAACAATTTCTTCACATATTGTTGTGGCTCATGAGTTAGCGAGGAAAGCCTATGAGGAGAGTCTCTCTTCGAGTTAGCGGTTCTCTTGTCCTGGGTGGCTTTCAGATTTGTTAATTTCTGATGTTTCTTCTCTTTAATATATGTCTTTGTTGTAAAAAGAAAAAAAAATTACAATATAAAAACATATGCTGTTTGGGGGTAAAAATACCTTGGACACGTGGAGGACAATCATTGGAGTTCTGAAATAACCCAGGTCCACCTCGAACTCGTCGAGGAGACTGGACTCGCCCATTGAAAAAGACTAAGTATACATGCTGAGGTTCGACCTGATTGGGGTTCGATCTGCTCGGAACCCGACATGTCCGACATGAGAAAAAACATATAACCGCCGGTCGTGAGTACTGTCGAATCCACCACCTATAAATAGAGGGCCTCATTTCACGCTCAGGTATTGAATCTCACCTCGAACTAAATATTGAGTCCGTCCTATACTAACTTAAGCGTCGGAGTGTTTGCCCTCCTGTGCAGGTTCGCTCTTGAGTTTAGGTCGAGCCGAGGACCGAGTTCGAGCTTGGTTCGTTAAATAGTGTGGTGCAATTCTTTGCATAAACATTTGGCGCCGTCTGTGGGGAAAGACATCTTAAGTCATCCCGATCTAGGAAACATACGCAAAAATGGTGCAGCCAGCAAACTCTGCAAATACGACAGAACGAAGAGGTTTGCACGCTGATAATGGCACTCAGCGAGACCTCGATGCCAGAATAGTGGAGGACCAGGTCCGAGCAGGACAAGAGGGAGATCTGCCACGGAGATCTACCCGCCATACGAATCAGGAGTTACCTCCTGCTCACCCGAAACCCTCAAAGGCCAACCGAGGCCG